TGTTTTCTAAATCAAACTCTGCCTTCTGACTTCCCTATTTCTGTGAATGGTGTCACAGTCACGCAGGTCTGAAACCTCAGTGTCACCTGAACTTCTCAGATATTTCCTTCACTCTCACACATCTCTCCCTGCTCTGCATCCTCATTGGGGCAGCTGTGGTTCAAGAGAACAAGAGGTTCTCACACATCAACTCTGGCAGCTCCTCTCACTCCAACACTCAACTGTCTCGGAGATAATTGCAGACATCAAGTATGACACATTCTAACATACCAAAATAAATCCATTAGTGGCTATTTTAAAGGTCAACAGCATCACTGTAAGAACAAACTCAGAGCTATTAAGTCATCAATGGCAAAAATAGGGAGGGCTGTACTTCATAAACCTTTGCACATGTATTCTTGTTTCAGTAAATGTACTCTGAAATAACTTTACAGGGCTGACGTAAGCCTTTAAATTTATTTAGGCTTTACTGAGCTTCTACAGTGGCTTAGTTCATTCCTCATTAAACTGGGAGCTCCAATATGGCTTCTCTGAAATCTTCCCAGAGCCCAATTCAGGACATGGCATACCATGAGCCTTCACTGAGCATTTAAGGCATGTTTGCTTGTTTTGAGACAAGGTCTTACTCTACAGTCCAGGCTAGTCTCAAACTCACTGTCATCCTCCTGCCTCAGCCTCCCAGGTGCTGCTATTACACCGGTGAGCCCCCATGATTAACTTAATATACTTGAAATTTCTAATTTCATATCCTTCTTATGCTGCCTCACATTTTAGTGTTGTGAGACACGAAATAGTTCTCTCCTTTATAAGTAAATTTCTTCTCATCATCCAGAATCCTAAAAATATGCATATTTAGAGCATATAAATTCACCTTTTTATTTTGCCTTCCCCCAAACCACTAAAAATTTGGCACTCACAAGCTTTATTGTTGCAGGGACTAGAAAATGTTAGTTTAAAGGCAGAGCGCATCGGTGATGACTTTAGAGTCTTACTACAATAGGTTATAATTACACATTTATAAACCTACAGCTGCTACAGAGACAAAAGAGCAACTTGCTTTTGAAATTGTGATTTGTAATTCATATTATCAGTAGAAATTTGCATAGAAACAAAGTGGTGTTCAGGCAATGATGTGCTGCCGTGCCTTTTATTATACAACTCTTATTTTGAACAGTTTTGTTTTTCTATAATATTTAAGCATCTAATTTATTTTAGACTTACCAGTGTAATTCTGAATTGACTCTGAGAGCTTTTTATTTTGGGCAGTTGACACCACTGGAAGAGACTTTGTCTTGGCTGAAGAGATCCTCTCTGACAGAGACTTAACAGGCCCACCTTCCTTGATAGGTGGGTAGGCAGCTGTGGAGGATTTGCTGGCTGAAAAACTGTGCATTATATTTTCCCAGTCATCGTCATCATCATCATCAAAGTCATCAATGTTAAAATTATCAATATCATAGGAAGCCTGGACTTCTCTCTCTAAGTTATTTACTGAAGCAGCATGTTTATTCTGATCTTTCACAGCGGTGCTTGTGAGAACATTTCCTGGGAAATAAGTGCTTTCGTTTCTTTTTTCTATCCTTAGTGTTTCAGCCCAGTTGCTACTTACAAAGGACTTCTGTAAATGGGAATTCAATAACGGCCTTTCAAGGAGATTCTTCGTGGTGGCTGAGAATCCTGTCTTCCCTGGAGTGGTGGTTGGTAAGCATTCCTCAGTGGAAAGGGAATGTGAGGGAAAGGATGGAGAATTTAACTCTTTACTAGGATGCCCCACAGGGCAGGAATTACTCTGCACAGTGTTACCATGTGAGTCAGGCCTGCATCTCCACAGTGAACTCAGAAGACTGACATCTTTTCCATTAAAACCAGCTTCGGCCAAAAGCTCCCTTCTGAAGAAAGAGAACATATTAAATGTAAATAGTTTGCTATAGTAGCTGTGAAGTTTACTTTCATTTTTTAACCCCAACAGAAACTCTAGAAAAAAATAATCTTTTTCCCAGTCTCAAAAATTTGAATGTAAATCTTAAACAAATGGTTTGAAAATTAAATAAGTTTAAAACTTAGTGATGGGACTATTATCCTTATGTTTAGGCCAGAAAGCATGGATGTTCTGCTTGTCTCTTTACTTGGAGTAGTGGAACTGCAATCAGATATCTTCCAGAAGGACAATCAAAATACCTTATGTTTCGCTGTTGAAGCAGCTCGTTCCCACAATTCAAAGCTTTCAGTTCATCAATAGGAACAGTATCAACTAATTTACAGATGTGCTCCATCACACGAATAAGCTGCTGCTGCACACTCATCTGTTTGTCTATGAAGCAATATAAATAAAGAATGAGGTTGAAACCCAAGAACCCCAAAATGCCAGGGAAGCACTCTGCTGGTGTGCTGCCTCACAAGCCACCCCCAATTTCTTGATTAAGCCACACAACTAAGAGATATGATTTCCAATGAAGCTGATGTTTCCAATGAAGGAAAGAAAACAAATAATTCAGGGAAGCAATAAAAGCAAAGAAAATGCCCACTCAACTTCACATGATATAAAGGAGAAAATGTCAGTTTACATGGGCTCTAGGGAGACAGTATTCTCTGGAGGCAAGGAGGTAAGAAAGGGAAAAAAAAATGCTCAGAGAAGAAAAATGAGAGCACATGGCTGCAGATGAGAAACAGTCAGCTGACAGGCTTGAGGGACAGGAAGGAGACAAGAGGGAAAATCAGGGCTATACAAAAACTGTGTGGAGACAACCGTGTGCATGAGAAAGACACAGGAAGTGAGGATGTCTGCTGATAACTATGGGGAAAAGGACATGGCTATGAGGTGTTGAACAGAGAGCTGCTGAATTCCTGTCGTTCTGGTTCTCTATGAAGGAGCCTCAGTCTGGAAAGAAGAGATTTCACAATGGTCTGAAAAACTTGAAGCCAAGGCAGGATCAGAAATACCAGTACCTAGACAGTGGCAAATTTAGATTTAGACTGTCTAGATTTCCCTACTAGACAGACTACATCCCTTCTCAGACTACAAGGAAAACTCTGGGCAAGGCCTCAAAGGAAAGTGAAGACAGACACTGTTCTGATTTAAAAAAAAAAAGTGATTGTCAAAAGCTACAAACTAGTGACCTTGTTGTTGACTCAAGGCAAAAATCTAGAATACATTATCAAAATGCTGCTTTGTAGCTCTACAAGAGGAAACAATTATGGAGTTAGGAGGAGATCATAAAAACAAAACAGCATCTTAATGCTCCTCTTTGGAAGGATTACTAGACTCGCAGGTAACAACAGCTATTTCCTGATGGCCTACAGTACACCTTGGAATCTAACAGCTATCTAGCAAGGCAGGGTGGTGCTGCATGCCTACGATCTCAGGTCTCAGGAAACAGAAGCAGGACTATGAGTTAGAAGCTGCTTAGGCTATAGTGTGAGGCCCTAACACCCCATCCCTTCATTCTTCGTGCCTTAGACAGTAATATTTCTGGAGTCCTATAACCTAGTCTTTTATAATTCCATAGAGAAGGAAGAGAAATATCTTGAAGAAAGGTTCATAACTAGGTGATGATTGACTGATGTCAGTTAAGAGGGAAGTCTCTTGTGACACTGAAGACCTCTGCCCACATCCTTACACTTGCAGCATTATAATAGGAAAACTTAAGAGATGAAGAAAGAGGCTAATACCATGGTTATCAGGGTGAATTCAAGAGTCTCTATGCTGCTGGTTCAAATTCTAACTCTGCTGCTGCCTTAATTCTACAATCATCCAATTATTAATTCTTCTGTACCTTAATTTCCTTATTTCTATGGTAAGAAATAAGGCACTCAAGAGGGAGAGACAGGCAGCTCTGAGTATGAGGCCAGCCTCATCTACATAGCGAGACCCGTGTCAAAACAACCTGAGAAAATTTTCCTATTTTGCTGAAAAGCAAGAGATATATGAGAAAATTAAGTGTGTGTGTGTGTGTGTGTGTGTGTGTGTGTGTGTGTGTGTGTGTTTCTAACATCCAAATTGCAAAGGTTCTCGATATAGTAAGAGAGGAAAAAAAATAAAAAATACTACTAGATAAAACTTCCCAAATGAAAACACATAGCTGGGCGGTGGTGGTGGTGGTGGTGGTGGTGGTGGTGGTGGTGGTGGTGGT